CTGTGGCCAGGAAAAAGTAGAAATTGGTTTTTTATTGAAAAGTTTAAATCCAAAAGTAGTCCCATGACCAATCATGGATTTGCTATTCTTGAGAAGATGATGTTGAAAGACGTTTCCTATATATTTCTATATAAAACCTTAATTTGCCATTGTGGTCCCGTCTTACCCCAGGGGTCATGATTTGAACTTGAATCTACACTACTTGAGGATGCTCCCATATAAATATAATGAATTACGGCTTTGCTATTCTTGAGAAGAAGATTTTTAAAGAATTTTCCTATATATTTCTATGTAAAAATTTGGTCGGCCATTTTGGCCTCGCCCTACACCCAGGGGTCATGATTTGAACAAATTTAATCTACACTACTTGAGGACGCTTCCATATAAATATGATGAATTATGGTTTTGCTATTCTTAAGAAGAAGATTTTTAGCGCATTTTTTTATATATTTCTATGTAAAACTTTGGTCGGCCATTTTTGCCCCGCTCTACCCCCGGGGGTCATGATTTGAACAAGCTTAAATCTACACTACCCAAGGATGCTTCCTCATAAGTTTCAGCTTCCCTGGCACAGTGGTTCTTGAGAAGAAGATTTTTAAAACATGACACCAAATTTTCATTAATTCCCAATTATCTCCCCTTGAATGAGGGCGTTGCCCTTCATTTGAACAAACTTGAATCCCCTTCCCCCAAGGATGCTTTGTGGGAAATTTTGTTGAAATTGGCCCAGCGGTTCTTGAGAAGAAGTCGAAAATGTGAAAAGTTTACAGACAGACAGACAGACAGACAGACGGACGCCGGACAAAATGTGATCAGAAAAGCTCACTTGAGCCTTCGGCTCAGGTGAGCTAATAAGTCCTTTCACTCTGGAGTTCCGAATGACAATGAAGAATGCACGATAAGTGAACTGTGAACGCAAGGTGAACGCAAAGTAAACGGAACGAAGAGCGAACGGTGAACGCTTTGTAAACGGTAAACGCGAGCGCACTGTGAACGGTGAAAGGAGAGCGAACGGTGAACGAACGCTAAATGAACGGTTAATAAACGGTGAGCGAACGGAAAAATGGGAAAGTAGAACGTTTGAGGGACTGTAGTTATCTCCACTTCTTTGAGGTGAGCTAAAAAAATATTTTTTTTATTATTTTATCTACATCCTGTTTACCTCACTGTCTGTACCCCCTTGTCTACCATTAATAGAGCCTTGGTCTGAGTACACGTGTGAACTTCCTCTTTTTTTTGCTATGAGCGAGACCACAAACTTCTCTAAGTACAGGTCCAGCAACTTTGACCGCACCAATCTGAAAGAAAAGTACCACAATATTTGACTAGTCTACGGGAAGAAATGGTCAAATTATGTTTGATATATTCCTTTCTTCAGAGGATCCTAATTCACATTTCACAGCAATCACAAAAGTCTTACAGCTGCATCTGAGTGACCTAGAAATATGAAGGCCATTACCATGCCCATAAACAAGGTCAAATGTCTAACGTCTGAACAGCTAACAGATAAACAAGAATAAAACAAAACACCTATTTTTAAGGACATGCTATACATTATATCTTGTAAAATGGGTTATTGGGGGGATACTTTAAGATCAAAGGGTAAAATCATTTTATACTGCTAAATATAGAAGAAAATTGGAACTTTTTTGTGTTCAAATTACTGAGAGTCCTTAATGATGCTAAACTAGGTATAAAAAAAATTCTTCTTCTACATACCTGGAAACATTGTCATTGAGAATCTTATTTCTACACTCTCTCTCTGTAGCCGAGCTTTGTGTTCAGGATAGAGACGGCAGATATGAGATCCAACAATGCACCACCAGTATCGAAACATTAAATGTAAAGCTCCTGTAATCTGTCCTGTCCCAGCTGCTGAGCCTTAAAAGCAAAAAAAAAACATTTTGGGAACATTTTCTTCTGTTTATTAAATCAAGACTATAAAATGATAGGTGAAATTTTACCTATACTATTCTCATCTCCAAACAAAAGAGATTTACTTCAAATTTCAATTTATAGATTCTTCTTTAATCAAAATGGTTCTAAATTGTTGATTATAAAAATGAAATTCAATATAAAGTATATATTAAAAACAATTTGAACTGATGGATGAACAATATGTTCTTATTTCTACATATTCCTTTGATTTTATAATTATTTATAATTATGAGATTTCGTATTTCAAGAATAAAGAGGTTTTTTGACTGATAAAATCTTACTGTTTTATCCACTTCTCCACAGCTGAAAACATCATCTCTTGAATTTGGTTGCTGTACAAAATTAATTCAAATCTCAAGTCATTAAGATTAAAAACAGCAAGAAGGATTACTTAATTTATAAATCAAATATCAAATATTGTCAATTATAAAACACTGTACACAGGGAAATTTTCACCTCCATTTTAATTTACCCCTTTCGCATTTGTCACAAGTGGGCGAATTAAAAACGGAGCAAATTCAAAGAACACAGTATAGTTTCTTAAACAGAACTGATACAGGCAAATTTGTGTAAAAGAGCGAAAATAACAAGGGAGGAAAATAACCCTGTATACATGGAGACACAACATACCTGCTGGACCAGTGAAGGCACCTTGCTGGCCTGGACATGAAATGGACTCCCCTTCATCTGGATCTATAGGGAAGAAATTATTACTCGAATTAAAATGAAACAGTCAAACTTCAACCCAATGGCGTTCAAGTAAAGTAATACATTGTTATGAAAATTGTAGAAAATTTAAGTATGGGGAAAATAACACTAGTTTTCATGCAATTACCCACTGCTTAATTAGCATTAACAAGATACTGGTTATTATTCTGGTATCATGGATATGTTCTCAATGAACATTTGTGCTACAGATTCATATAATCAAAATCATGCAAAAATACATGAAATTTTGCCTTATTTTCATCCTCTGAAATTTTTAAAATAACTTTTCACTTTATACCTTGATGTAGTTTTCTTACAGGACTGGTGAAGACATTCAGGAAAATCCTCTGTCACTTAAATCAAAACAGATATACTGTATAAGTGGAAATTTTAGCAAGATGCAAATTTAGCAGTCTGAAAATTGATGTTACATTTTTAGCGTGATTTAATTTCACAATCAATTTTGAAATGCTCATTAAAGAAATTATGACAAATAAAACAAAATTATTTTTAGCATATTCAATTTTAGTGATTTCAGCACTCTCGCTTGTAATAAATTGTCAATTTATAAGTCGGTTTTTAAAGTTTAGAATTTATTGTAAGTCCAAAAATATGAATTTCACAGATATAATTTAGAACAAATTTCGTACATGGAACAAACTGAATTTTACAAAGAATTTCTTAAGATTGACTCACTTACAAACTCAGCATAGGTTAATCTTTGACAACTCCGCCCACTTTCGTACTGACGAGCCAATTAAATTAAGGATAGAAAATTGCAAGAACAGGGGGAATCCGTATGACATTAATTTACAACACTGAAATTAGGTAGAGCTAAGCATAACAAATTCAAAGAAACACGATCCTAAGATCTAACCACAAAGTTGATAACAAGTATGAGTAAATGACATTGATATCGTGAGGCAGGAAAGAGATGTCAAGAATTAAATATTGGTAACATGTGCAAAAATGCCTTTCCTAAACATCAAATGAAAACAATTAACTTTCAACTACAGATGTCAAACAAGACCGAAAAGTAATAAGCAATTATATAAAAATATATTCATAATTAATAATTTGTCATTTAGAAACCCTTATAACACATAATCATAACACGCTAATATGTCAAAATTTAATCGTCGCTAAAACTTCTGCTTATATGATACAATGAAAGACTTGCATTGAAATACTTTTTGCCTGCTCCTAGCAGTTTCATGCACAAAAATTGACTTTATGCAAAAATATTTTTATGTCTTTTTTTTATTTCTTTATTTTATATCCGTTATCAACCAAATAATAATTCGTGAAACTTCAGTTTATTCAGACAGTTCCTGAAGTCAGCTGATGATAAAAAAAATCTTTAAAAATCTTCTTCTCAAGAACCACTGGGCAAGGAAAGATGTAACTTATGTGGAAACATTTTCATGTAGTGTAGATTCAAGTTTGTTCAAATCCCCAAACCCACCCCATCCCGTTCCGTTCCTATCAATAAGGATTATTTATCTTACTTCACAAAGGTACCAAAATTTGCCCAAAATTATAGTAAACCTTTTGAGAAATTGAAAGAAAAACTTTTGATATACACTGTAGTAACCATGACAATATTATTATATTATTCAGCAAATTCATAATGATAAGAATTGTAGCCTTTTGTATAAAGGTTTTGTTTAAATTTAATATGATTAAAACTAATTAATTGGTAGGCTAATATATTTTTTAAGTTAACACACAAACAAACATTTGGATCATTGTTCTTTTTTTTCTAAATATTCTATTTTTCTAGATATTGCATTTTTTCACCAAGTTTATTCATTTATGTTTATTTTTTCATGTGCCCCAGCGCTAAAAGTGGGCACGTGACGTTTCATATCAAAGGGAAGTAACTCAAAAACGAAGATGGTGATTGACACGTAGGCCTTATGTACATTTAATCAGAAAATTATCAAGTTAAAATCTAGAAAAAGAGGACCATAAAATTGATTCAATACATGGGAATTATGAAATTTTGAAAGAGTAATTTGTTTTCTGGCACAGAAACTTAAATTACATGCATGACGATTATCATGCTTGTAATTGTCATCTTTTATAAACCTGTTATCTAATCTGTTATCATTTAGTGAACATGTTAAAGTTCCCCAAAATTATTTACATGTATACATGATAATTAATTAATTCTCAAAATATTGATCCTCAGCTGAATGACTAAGCATTGTCATACTTAACAGCATATAGTCACAAATTAAGGACATTGTTTGTTTTAACAAGCCCCGGCTTTCTCTCGGGATGCATAGCAGTCGCAGTATAAACCCCATCACAAAAAGTAAGTGTCACGACTATTTTAAAGTATCTCCCCTTGATATAAGGTGTGGCCCTTCATTTTATTTAACTTGAATTCTCTTCACCAAAGGATACTTTGTGGCAAGATTGGTTGAAATTGGTCCAGTGGTTCTTGAGAAGAAGTCGAGTATGTGAAAAAGTTTACAGACAGGCAGCTCTACAAATTGCCCGACGACGGACAAAATGTGATCAGGAAAGCTTTGGCTCAGGTGAGCTAAAAAAAACTTTTAAATATATTCCCCCTAAGAGATTGACTATGACACAGTGTATGAAAACAGAAGAGTTGATCATTATACTTAATTCTAATATTTCTAATTTGTAAATATTCACAAGGAAATTTAAAAATTTTGAAATATTTAAATACAAGATGGTGAAGTCAAATAAACTGTCAAAATATCATTCAAATACTGTGGTTTCATTTAGGTTTTGTACATATTATATTATCAGAGACTATAAAGTAATTAAACTGAGTCATACAGTATATGACTATGTGTCCTTCGTGTCCTTAATCATCTCCAGAAACATCATAATTAGGAATCTTACATCGAGCATGAATGCTGTACAATGCTAGAAAATACCTGTACAGTTTATGTATAGTAAATTATCATAGGGTTTTTATAAATCTATAGGAAGGAATCAAAAATTACAATTAACAGTTTAAGTAAATAATAAACACAGATGCTTTGAAGTATATACTGCATTACTTAAAATATTGTTAATATAGACCGCATATAAGTAGAATCGACACATGAGATGATACACAAAATTTAATGATTGAAACCATTGATGTTTTTATGGCATTTGTTACGATTTCATAGAATGAATAATCACAATTCAAGTAAATTACACTGTGTATTGAAACACTTTGACAAGTCCCTCCCAGTATCCCACCCACAGTGTAGACTTGTATAGAGACAGTGTGAGTGGATGGTTCACTTCATTCTCCTGGAGTAAGAACTTCAGGAACTCCCCGTCAGGACTCAGCAAATGGATCTGCTTTTTGTCTAAGTCAGTAACAAGGATGTTACAGAGGGAGTCATACACTACATCACCTGGTCTAAAGTTTGCTGTTAGGTTTTGTCCACGGTAGACAGACTTCATACGACCAGAGGGAGACATAATCACTAGTTCACCTGTGATTTCACATGTATAGTTCACAACACAGATATCACTGTTACTGTTCTGTGTGGCTCTGTATGGATATATAAACAATCTGGTCTGACCGTCCTCCTGGTACTCATACTCATGGATGACATCGCCTGTCACTCTAATGTGTCTCAACAGACGTCTGCTGTGTGACTCTAAATCAAAATTCTCTGAGTCTGTCAAGGTGACCAGTAGTCCACCGTCCACTGATTGACAGATTCCGTCTGGTATCAGTGAATCTGTACTGATGACTGTAGAGACAGATCCTGATGACGACAAACAGTTGATGGAATAGCTTTCACCATCAGTGAAATAAACATCACCAGTATCAGTCACACACAGATAATTAGCAGCAATATCATATGTATGTTTTTTCTCGCCATCTTTGTTTACTTGTTCAATGGAAAGTGACTTTGCTTCTCTCATGTAGCACTGATCTTCACACAATGCCTTCAATACAAATATTTGTTCATCTCCATATTTAAATGAGCTTGTTTCAGTCAAACTGATATTGTTTAAATCCTGAGTTTTTCCTATCATATTCTCCATCATCTCATTACTGATATCTCCTTTAACGTATCTCAATGAATAATGAAAGTTGTTAAAATTAACATTCAGACCAGACAACTTTTTTGACAGTTCCTATGGCACGCCGATTGGTTCAAAATTATTTTCTGCACGACCTTAAACAAAAATTGCACGAGTAAGTAAAAACTTGCACAAAGTGAGGAAAGTATACACAAAGTTATTGAAATTTTCACAAACTACAGAAAAACTACACAATCAACAAAATATTTACACGATAGAGTGAAAAAATTACACAAACGTAAAAACGAAAACTGCACGAGTGAGAATACAACATCGACATAATATACGACGCATCCTCATTGCGCACATTTCATTAATATTCATTAGAGAACAGCTCAGGGTGGCTTGGATGCTTGAAACATATACCTATAAATTAGTAACGTGTTAGTAATATTTATTTAATCTTTTTAAAAAGGACTCCGTCTTTTGGAATTCCGCTAGACTCTCAAGAATATGTACAATGTGTTTTATACATGTATAAATTTACACACAATCTTAAGTATCGAATGTGAACACCACGATTAAAAACATTCTACACATGTATAAATAACGTAAAAGGGATGCATATTACCAGTTGTGTGTTTAATTGTTAGATTTTTAAATTGTGTCATTCCTCTATCATTGTCCATATAGCAATTTCTTTTGAAGGTGTAAAATATTGATATAGTAAAGGTCTTCATAAATATTAATAAAAACAGCATGTGATGTAATACAAGACAGTTAACAACAAATTAAACTCTTCTCCTCCACCACCCACTGTGTGTACGTCTGTATAATTGAGGATGTGGATGCGTGACCTTTTCATATAGAGAGAACCCTCCCTGCTGGTGAAGGAATGCAAGACACCTGAACGCTAATCGATTTATAGTTATTTGACACATCAATAATACCTTTTGATTAAGGATTACTAGCAATTCATACAGAGATTTTGAAGCATTGCTGCGATCATCTGGGTTGTGGAATTTGACAGAAAACTTTTTGGAAATAAACAGTAAAAAATAAAAATAAGGCAAATACTTGCGCAACTTTAAGTTTTATATTGAAACGATCGAATATAATTATTAATTTTTTTTTATATAACTATGTATGTGACAAAGTAGAAGATGTAGTCTTTAATTTTGAACAATGTGTAGTTATTTCATAAATATCTATGTAAATGTAGAAAATTGTATGTAAATTGTAGTCGTGTTAGTTATTTGTATTTAAGCTTAATATATTATGTTTTTTATCGAGTTTGCTTTGAATAGGTAAAATGCATATAAAGGAATTAAAACAATCTAAAATCATAATATACAGACACATATAATACCAGTAAAGCATCGCTTTTGATAGTGGGGAGGGGGTTAGAATTTTTTTTGGACAAATTACCTGAAAAGCCTAATTGCATGACAAGCGAAAAAAAGGCGGGGATGGGTGGGAAGTGTCCAAACTCGAAAATCATATTTCGTTGAGGTAGTGAGGCACCTTCAATATTCCACCATCTTTTCTAAACACATAAGCATATATTACTTAGATTTAAACTACCAAACAAAAAAGGGTACGGGGCTTTTCAGTGGATATTTATGATAGAAAAATGTTATGTTTGCCAAAGAAAAGAAAACGAACAGGGGGAGGGATATGCCCCTCCTGATGCTACTGGCTGAAATAATTTTCTATGAATTTAAGCGTACATGAAGTAGTCAATCGAAATCAGGATTGCAATTCAACCTAAAACTATAACGATAAATATTGTAATTAACCGTCCATATCCTGGAATTTGCGCTCGACCTAACAACATTTAAAAATTGAAGGTTAGGGGGTCAACCAGCATATAAGGAAAATTTACTGTTGCAAAGTCTATAATACTCAGAAAAAAGTAGGGAGGAGGGGGGACTTCTACAGGCCCGTTTGCCGATTAATTTCATTTTATGATTATACAGTCATGTTCTTGTTATAATGGCCATAGATTTGTATTGAAAAGTATAAAAAAAACTTAAATTTAGTGTTTGGGAAATAATAAATTATTAAAATTTTATGAATACGAATTCTACATGTAAAGAGAATTTGTTGTCTTTGAAAATATTTGCAAAAATTGTGCTCTATTTGGAACATGATTTATTTGCATTTTTCAAGAATGATAAAACAAGTTCTATATTCTTTCCATTTATTATCAAACTGCAGTATTCATTCCCATTTTATTTATGTGTAGCATTGTATGTAAATGTATTTAGTAATTCACAATGTTTTAAAAGTCTTGGGGTGTGTCATTAACTCATCATGGTCCAACGATTTGAAACTTAAATAAATTTATATTGTGACTCCAATCGATCCACGAGCCAGGTCCGCCACTGATCATGTGTTTTTCCATAGCCAGGATTATTTGAGTATCTAGAGTTTTGTTATTTCATTTGGACAAATTTAATTAATAAAACACAAAAGCGCATGTGCATAGAGTATATAAGTATATTCCCCGTTTATCTGGTCCTTTTTATTAAAAATGAAAACATTTATCAAGTAATCGCCATTACGAATGAGGGCAACGCTTACAAGAAATATTTTGTTTTTATTTCGAAGTTTATAACTGAAAATATGAAATATCATGGAAAAAATCATAACAAAAAGTAGGCTACAGATATTCAACCAAAATTGATATCGGATATTTTATAAGGTTGGATACATATGTAAATAGAAACAGGGACCTATATACTAGTATATAGGTCCCTGATAGAAATAAAATGTTTTTATGTTTGACATTAAAAATACGTTGTGTGCATCTAAGGTAATCCACACTTTTTAAATTTAAAAATGTACACATTTATATAAATCCAGCCAACTGAATATTTAATTTCCTATTCCGAAATGGGGAAAAAATCTCCTCAAATGATTTTTCTACAATCAAGATCCTTGTCAGACGTACTGTACTTTCATCGTTAGGTACTTTTAGTTCGGAGTCGAGCGCATCATACCCAATGGTACTTTTTTTTTACCCCGCGTTGTAGCACAAACGTACCGATTCATTCTTGTTACAATTTTTGGCCGCATCATATAATACATCCTTGATCTCGGTCAATATTAGAAAAACATAGTATTTTCAAAAAGCTTTTAAATACTCTCGCATAGATTAGATGGAAACACTTCATCCGAAAAGCAACTTCCATTCTCGATAACATTCAGCTTAGCATACACGAAGAGATAAAGAGTACAGAAAACCAAGAACACTATGAATATTCTATGTGCATAGTAATGATATGCGCAGATGTATGCGCAGTAAAATTGTTTGTGTAATTTTTAGTTTCCTCTGCTCGTGCAATTTTCGATTTTTGTTTGTGCATATTAAACCCTTTAATCGTGTAAAAAATTTCGGATTCGTGTATTTTTCGTTATGTTTGTGTAAAAATCTTTTAAACTATGTGCAATTTTTACCGATACGTGCATTTTTATTTTACTCGTGTATATTTTTCTTCTAGCTCGTGTATAAAATCGTGATCGTTGTGCAGAAAATAATTTTGAACCAATCGGCGTGCCATAAGTTCCCTGTGATTGTCAAGGAAGCCATAATCAGACATGGTGCTGTTGTTATCCTCCATAAACATTACCATCTCTTCTATTTCTTTCTTCCTTTTGTTTAGCTCAGATTTCACACTGTTCAACTTTTTATTTTTTTCCTCCAAATCCTCTGTTAATCTTCGTTCATTATTTTCCCTGATTTCTGTCAACCTGGCCATTATCTCATCAACATGCCTCTGAAGTTTTTTAATCTGAGTGTCACACAGTTCTTTATTTTCTGTGATCTGATTTGACACTTTCTCGATTTTTTCATTTATCCCATGCAGATTCTTTTCCTTGATCTTCTTCAGAAACTTAAGTAAACCCCTCCTCCTTTGGGTGGCTGCCGTGGGTAGAGTGCTCCATTCATGCTCCTTATGATCTGTTTTAGCACATTTACCACAAATAAATTCATCACAGTCCTCACATATAACATCAATAGGTAAATCGTGGGTTTTACACATTTCAATATGCTCTTGAGGAGAGCCCAGTGGATATTTTGGTGTTCTGGCTGCCATGTTTGTTGAATGTCTACCTATGACCTAGATTTGAAGCAGCGATAAGGTAGCTTACAGTGTAGTGATTTGTACTTTAAACCGAGATATAAATAACATGATATGCACAGTCAGCAAACAGTTGTACTTAAACAAATCAAAATATAAAGAGCAGCTTTAAACTAGGTGTATTAATGTGTCACTATATTTAATTTTTAAAAATATATATCATTTCATGCATTAGTTCTAAGGTATGGTTAAACTTATAGGGGGTTTTGGCACCTTTTTGAATTCTTAGCAGATAATGCCACTAAATTGTGTGCTTACAAATAAAATCCTTAGAAGCAACAAATAAACAAGAGGCCCAGGGGCCACATTGCTCACCAGAGCAACTGGCTAGATAAAAACAAAATTCAATTCAGCATTAAGAGTTTAAATATAAAAGTGGGTTCAGGGAATAGGGGAATGGTATATTTGAACAAACTTAAATCTATACTTCCTATGGATGCTTTTAAAATAATATGCAACGTAATGCCTTGCTGTTTATAAGATGAAAATTTGATTGATATAGCCTTTATATTCGTTAGAATAACTAATGATCCATTTTAATGGCTCCTCTATTCTCCTGGTTGGTCATGATTTCAACAAATTTAAATTTACTTAACCCTTTTTTATGCTTTTATATTAAAGATCAATCATGGCTTTGTTGTTCTTGTGAAGAATTTGAACAATTTTTCCTATGTATTCCTACGTAAAAACTTTGTCACCCATAGTGGTCCCTTGCTACACCTGGTGATCATGATTTGAACAAACTTGAATCTACGCAAGTAAACTACCCGAGAATGCTTCTTTATAAATCTGAACAATCACAGTTTTGTTGTTTTTGAGAAAAAGAATTTTAAAGATTTTTCTTATGCATTCCTATCGGATTGTCAATTAGTATTAATACATCTAACTATTAACATAGTTGACAGTACTTATCTATATGATATTGAAATATGGGGATGTCAGAAAGAATATGTAAGGATGTACATGTATGTGTAATTGTGGTTTTAAACTCTTAATAAGAGTTTGAAGTCTTAAAAAGTATTTTAAAAACCGTGCATCTTATTACATAAACTTAAAGACTATGTCAGAGTTGAGGACTGACGTTTCACAACCTGAAAAATATGAAGATCCAGCGGCAGTTCAAGGCCATCAGGATCCCGTTCCCATGACAACCAATCCTGTTTATTCCCTAGCAAGTGCGCCAGAATACGAAATTCTCTCAGACACCTCGACTGAGAGTCCGATTGTCAATGCCGTTCATTCGGAAACCCCCGTATGTGCAGGGTATGAGGTACTGTGAGCACTTCAGCTCACTAAATGATACCCCGTCTCCCATATAATTATATCATGGCAAAGTCCATGTTTTGCTCTGGGAATGTCAAATGTCAGATCAGAAAGTAAAATAGGAGGTGGACAGTGGCATTATGTAATAAAGAATCTGTGAAAATATACTTAAATTTTATTCAGTGGGATAGGAGAAGTTGTGAATAAAAGACGCATGACCTTCAATATAATAGAAAGAATGGCATTCTCATGCATTGTTTTGGTATGGGATATCTGAAATATGTTTCCGATTAAAAAGTAAAATAAGAGCTGCACAATGGCAATATGCAACAAAAACTCTGTGAAAGTTTCATTATACCCCCCGCTTAAAAAAAAGTGGGTACGTCCGTCTGTCGGTTACCCTTTGGGGTACCCATCTCTTATCCGCAACACCGATACCACCGAGTGAAATTTAATGATACTTTCACAGAATCTTTATTACATATTGCCATTGTGCACCTCCTATTTTACTTATTGATCCAAAACGTATTTTAGGTTTCCCATCGTAAAACATGGCCATTATATTTTTTCCTATGACATGAGATATGGCGGCTTCTGAATAATATTAGATCCACGAGTTATTCCTCTTTACACGTTACCGTAAAACATTATATAGCAAAATATGGACATTATGGAAGGCGGGGGTATCATTTAGTGAGCTCGTTGCTCACAGTAACTCTAGTTAAAATTCATTTCGGCAAAAAGGAGTTACGGACAAGAGATTCGGTACCCCAAAAGCGTAACGGACGGACGGACGGACAGACGGAAAGACATTCCTTTTTAAGTGGAGGTATAATAATCAAACCCCCCGATTGAAAATCGGGAGGGTATATAGTAATCGGTACGTTTGTCTGTCTGTCCGTCCGTCTGATACGCTTTGGGGTACCTATCTCTTATTTGCAACTTCTCTCATACCACTGAATGAAATTTAATGAAACTTTCATAGAATCTTTATTACACGTCATCGTGTACCTACTATTTTACTTTTTGATTCTATATATATTTTGGGTTTCCTTCAGCAAAATATGGACATTGTCATTATGTTCATATGGGATATTATATTCATATGGGAGGCGGGGGCTATCATTTAGTGAGCTCATTGCTCAGAGTACCTCTAGTATATTATGGGGTTTAAAAGAAATTATTACCGAAACAAGTGCCTGTGGTCAAAAGTCTACAAGGAGAAACTGGCAAACTCTATTTTAGCCTAAAAAAGAGAGTATACTGATTTAGAGTGGTATATGTACACTAGTACAAAAAGCTGGATCAAATACAATCCCATATCTTTGCTTTCAAAAAAAAATTTAGCGGTGGTGGGGAGGGGGTTAAAAGTACACCAATAGTTTTAGAACTTTCGTTGACTCCGGAATTTATGTGTTTTTTTGAATTAAAAAAAGTCAATTTTCGGCTTTATGTGATCAAATATATGTTTGAATGATCAAAATGTCTTAAAACTTTCCACTTTCATATGCAAAAAATATACGTTTAAAAATTTTCAAATGAAAAGACCGATATCTCTTCCAAATCTCGCTGTTTCGTAAGAAAACATTTTACAACAAGGAAAACAAAAAATTGCATTTTTTTTTTCCATAAATAAAACACGTCTGCATATAATGAACAGCTGTTAAAACAACAATGATTAATTTCGTCGTCTTATACTTTAGTTTTCAAACCATAAATGCTGTCAACAATTAAAAAATGACTTAAAAAGAAACAAAAATCTTTTAAATTATCAAATTCTTACCCACTTCTATTGTACAAACATGCTATTAAGACACTTTAAGTTTGGACAAACGTTTTGGAAATCCTCTTAAATTTAAGACTATACCCTTTTAATAAATTAATTGATTTCTTCTATCATTTTTAATTGAAAATAATTGTTTCATTATTTTAATCAAGAATTTATAAATAGGGACATGTATATTCAAATAAAATCTTATTATAATAGCCACTATGGCATCAGCTTAGACTTCAAAACAAAAAAAAAATACATATTACACCTCTTCTACAGTTTACCATGTAATAATTGAGTAACAATATTAAATATTATTCAAAACCATATACAAGAGAAATAATTATAAAACTAACTTGCAACACATTACTTCCGTACTAATGCAAAATTAAATACTACTGTTACATCTTTTAATCAAAATTACACCCTGATCTACCATCTTACAAAAAGATTAATTTTGCAGAAAATGACCAAAGAATTCCACAACTGTTTAAAACATAGGTAATCAGAGATTACAGAGCTCACCTCAACGTGTGTTGTATTTAAGTAAGGCAAATTAAGTCACAAAATTAACCAGCAAAAAGTATACATGTACATCCAAAAATGCAAAATTTATGCAATTTTAATACTTTGAAATAGACCTATATAAAAACTAAAAACCAGTTCTTCATCATGAAAATGTAACTAAAATCCAGCATCTGAAAAAAATTAGAGTTTTTATCCCTTGATGCATCATTTGTGCAACTGGTTTATATAAGCCTTATTTCTTGGTGATAGACTTGCACCCATAACTTTTAGAGGTTTTTTTCTGGAAAATGTATGTCGAATTCAGCATCTGAAGCAAGTCCATTAGTGTGCATCCTAAGATGTATCATCCATGCAAGTTTGGCCAACATAGGGCTTAAAGTTACTTGCAAATAAACCCGTATAAAAAAATTAACCTTTCCACTAATCCAGAAAATGTAGGTCAGATTCAGCATCCGAAACCAGCCTAGTAGAATGCATCCTTAGATGTACCATCCATGCAAGTTTGGTCATTATGGGCTCAAAGTTACTTGGAAATGAATCCTGCACCATAAACTTAAACCTGTTTACTCGTCCAGAAAATGTAGGTCAGATTCAGCATCCGAAGCAAGTCAGGTAGTATGCATCCTAAGATGTACCATCCAGGCAAGTTTAGTCATTAT